GAGAGAGAGAGAGAGAGAGAGAGAGAGAGAGAGAGAGAGAGAGAGAGAGAGAGAGAGCTGTTATTGCAAAAAACAAAACTTTATATAACTTAAAACCAATTAAATCACTAATTAATGATCTATTTATCATTATCTACACGACTACAGAACGGACCGCTCTGTCTGTACTACAAGATCATGGAAACGGCGAAGAGATCACCGCCAACCAAGTCCATCACCGGCCGCACCACCACCGCCACCACCAGTACAACCACCACATCCACCGCCGTCGGCGATGACGAACCGTTGACCACCGCTGTCGTAGTTGGCGGCGATGGCGACGATCGTATGTTTCGGGCGCCAGCGATGGTGACCGCTAAGCGCCGCAACGGCGGCAAACATCGGCACAAGCCGTGCAAAAAGCGCAAACTCATCGACGAGTCCAATCTGATCACCACAAACCCGGTGAACGAACCGCTGCCGCCGGTGGACACCGCTCTACTCAAGCAAGTGGTGGCCAGTAATACGATCGCCGCCAATCTGGAGCTCATGTCCAAAGTGGTGGGCACCGCGTTGAGTAGTCACCATCAGTTGGTCGCCGGCAAAATGGCCGCCAATAATGGCGGCACCAACGCTATGGCCAACGCCGTCATCGGCGGCCCCAAGATTCGTACCAAAGGCCAGAATAATACACACAATACTAATAATCTGAATGTCAATAACAATAGTCAACACAATAAGCATTTGAACACAAGTTGTGCGCCCAAAGTGTGTAAGAAAAAGGCTGATCTCAGCGCCGGTATCATCACTGCCGCCCCCGTCATCGGTGGTGTAGTGACCGCCGCCGCACCCGTCAAAGTGAGAAAAACCAAGAAATCGACCAAAACTTTGGCCGAAATGAACGGTTTGCCGCCGAAGCAGTCGTCGTGTAATACTAATAATAGTAATCCCATTGGAAATAACGTTAAGAAATTAGTCAACAATTTGACAAAATTGAACAATAAGTCAGTGAATCAGGCGCTAAATGTTGTCAATATGTCGGCATTCGTACCCAATATCTCGTCGCTGGAAGCGCTGAAGACTCATGTGAACAATTACGGCGCCAACACTACTGCCGTCGCTATGAATGTCTGTCGCAATGTCGCTAAATGTACTACAAATACAAATAACCGCAAAACAGCGGACACCAGTCAAGCGAAAGCCAATACAACCGCAATGGCGGACAAATTGGCGGACAATTATGTGTTCAACAAAGCGATTGTCGGCCCGAAAAGTGCGGACACAAATCAGAACAGATCAAAGTCAACGGTTCCCAACGGCGGCGGCGGTGGTAACCAACAAAACGGGTTCAAAGCAAACATGTTTTACGGCAATCCTATGTCGATGAGTACCTCAAAGTCCAGCGGCGGCTCTTGCGTTGCCACCACTACCGGCGGTGGCATGACTTCCATAACACCGACCACTTTGGGTGCCGCCACCGGCCATACCTCACACCCGCAACCGTTCACAACGATTACGGCCATTAACTCAGTGGTTGTCGGCGGCGGCGGTGGCGGCGATAATGGTTGCCTTAAAAGCCCTAAACCTAAGCCAAAGTGTGGCCAATCATCAAATCACAAGTCAATTATGAACGCCGTGAACTGTTTGCTGAACAACGCCATAACCATAACGCCAGTACCGGCGCCGCCGCCGAAGCCATCTCTCGGTACCACTACTGGTGGCGGCCTTTTGAACGGCAAGAAGAGCCCGATGTTGTTGTCGGCCAACAAATCAAACACCGATCAAAACAGTGCAGAAAAGGCCGTCAAAGTGGGCATTTATATTATATACTGTATTATTATAGTATAGTATATTTTTATAATAATGATAATTATTATAACAAAATAAATGATGTACAGAAACTAATGTACAAAGTTTAAAAAAATTAGAATATGAAATAAATTATATCCTATGGTTTAATTATTTTTTTGTATCAAATGTAATTAATAAGTTAATTTTGCAAATTTGTGGTAAACTTATGGGAACTTATTGTAAAATGCAATTACTCCTAACTACACAACCAACAAATCAACCATGGCCAGCCGGGGGCACCAAAAGTGACATTTATTGAATCGATGTCCGCAGTTCAAAAACAACGACTAGTCTGACGCCCGACACATGTCGGGTCTGACCCACGAGATGCTCATATCATTTGAGACCCGGGGGTCAACATAAGTTATGTGTGGAACAACACATATTTTAAGCTAAATAATGTTGGTGATTTCATTATTTTACACTGTATTTATTTTATGCAGTATTTATATTGTATTAATGACACTTATAAACTGCCTCATTTATTGTAATAACATATGTATTTTGTCAATAAAATATTTAAATTAATATTTTTAAAATACTATTAATATTACAACTATTCTATCGTAAACAAAATAGTATTAATTTTCCAATGTAAAATACAAAGTCCCATCGATCTACAATTGTACGTTAATTAAATTGGGACGTAGACATTAGCTCGAAAGACATGAGCTCGAAAGACACTAGCTCGAAAATCATGAGCTCGAAAGACACAAGCTCGAAAGACACTAGCTCGAAAGACATTAGCTCGAAAGACACTAGCTCGA